TGAACAAACTCTAACTAACTAACCATATTATCTAACTAACTAACCATACAACTGCATTTTGCTGAATTGCTAATATAACAGTGGTGTGACTTAATCAGCATCACAAACAAATCTCAACCTACCATTCAAGTTAGTTCGAATTTATTTATTTTTATTTTTTTTCGCCCAAACCCTAGAATTGGAGTTTTGTTCAATTTGCTATTTTTGTTTTTATTTTTTTGGGTCTTATGTCTATCCTAATAAGGGTAATACAGCTTCTCTTAGGAGGCCAGAATCACAAACAGACACAACCTTAGCAAATAATTGAATACAAAATAGGGAAGAGATAAAGAAGCATACTCTGTCAATGAACTTTCCCTAATCCTAACCATTCTATCATGTGTTGTTCCTTGTTTGTTTTTTCTTTTTTTGGTGATTATTTATTTTTGTGTTATTTTGGATTTACTTTGCATGTGATTGTATCATCAAATTCATCTTTAACCTAGTCCTGATTTTGTTTATCCTTATATAATGAAGCTAAAGTTGTGACGGGTACCTACCAAATAAATAAACAAATATAGAATGAAGAAAAATATAGGTGGAATTGTAAACAAGTTAACAGTGCAAAGTAGAAAAAGTAATTAAGTAGGTGAAGGGAAAGATGGGAAATTCTAACAAAGATATAATCTAGCTGGGAAAGAATGTAGGATATCACACTTGTGTGAATAAGAAACCATAGGTTTGTCAAGATTTTACCTTAGAGTTGTTCATCCTTTCGACTGAGAGACACGCATCTTTTGCAGCAGCCTCAATTTTCTCTATGGTTTCATTGATTGTAAGTTTGGATCCAAGCGTTGTTTTCTGCTTTTCATTATCCTAAATCGGGACGAAAGATTTTATATTGGAAGAAAAGAAGCATTTATGACTATTGAACTTAATTCAAGATGTGTATAACTTGCCTGTTCTTCGAATAGTCTTGACAAATCAAGGTCTTGTGACATTGCTATTAGCTGAAAAGCATTGATGAAACTTGGAATATGTGGTATCTTTGTCTTAGCCTCATTTTCCTACACGAGATACAATACATTTAGTTGAAATTGTGAAATTCATTATGTTGCTACTTCATTTTCATCATTACCTTGATTGAATCGAAAGCTGCATGAACATCATCCAAGTTGATATTTTCATCACATTCAATCCCCACAGCAGGCTGTCTATCATTACTCAAAATCAAACTAACCAACTGGAAATAATTGTTTATAAATTTTTGTTTGTCATCTGTTGGAACATGCTGGTCAGTTTTAATTGTAGCGTTTTCATTTTTGTCCGTAGTCAATATAGAAATGTGGAAGTTGCTATCATGTTTTCTTATTTCTCTTTTTTGTTTCTCTTATTCTACTCTGACAAGAGATCCTGAAAAATAGACTTTCACCGATTTTACTCACATTGTGAGTCAATCGTGTTAATTGCCTGTTGCATATCTATAATGATTTGTTCTTCTTAAGATTCCAATATTTTTTAGTATGTGAATTCTGGAGGATGAATATGAAAATAATTTAGTAAGACTCCTCAAAGTGGAGATACATGTGCTACCTCATAGCAGTTTTTGTAATTTTTTATTTTTATTAATTTTCTCTCAACCACACGGTCCACACCTTGGATTTGTGGGTTTTTGCTTTGAATGGTAGGACTTCATCACTGGTTATTTTTCTATTAAAATTTCTGAAATCTTTAAAACTTAATACAATATTACACACCATAGCACACATGGAATTTCATGGATTGCACCTTATAAACATTAGTCTCATGACTGAAGATTATCTGTTATATCTCATCAGAAGTCACTAATTGGTACATTTTAGTTACTGAATATATTACAGCAGGATACATGATACCCAGTTAGAAGCTATTTTAGCCCCATCTTGACTTGCATAACGTAATGTGATGAATCATCTCGGTGATGATGCATGCCAAGAGCATAGGTAACTGGTTTGTAACTTCAATTCTTATTAATTTAAATCATAAGTTGCTTACTTAATTAAGCTCTTTGATTTAACATACTATATTGATGATTATGGTACACAAGGTTCTGAAAAGCTATTGCGGTCGCCGTAACGGTGGCGGTAGCGCAGTTGCAGTTGCGGGGTGTAAAGGCCGTAGCGTAACGGTTGCGGAAACCGGAACCGTAAATTTTTTTATTTTTCGCACAATTTGAAAAAAATTTACTGATACGCATATTTTTTTTCCATAATCATATTTATTGGGTTTAAAATAAATATTGATCAATTTTGGTAAATTTTTAAGTATTATCCAATATATTTTATATTTTTAAATCACTATAAACTGAATTTTTTACATTTTATTTTAATAATTAATAACTTTATATTATCCAAAAAATCAATCACTAACTATTATATATAAGATAAACAATGACAAAAGTAAGAGAATAAATAAAGAGCCTAAATAAATAGATATATATATATATATATTTTAACCAAACCAAATAGATAATGATCACACTTACTATTACTATTATTATTATTATTATTATTATTATCATCAAACAATAGATAGATAGACACACAAACAAAATGGTTGAGTGACAGTTGCTGAATAGAATAACATAGGTCTTACAGTTTCAACGAATCAATAACATGTTCTTTATCTTCCCTCTTCTCTCTCTATCTCTTGTTTCTCTATTTTCTCTCTTTATCTTCCCTCTTCTCTCTATCCCTCTTCCCCCATTTTCAACCTTTTTTGTGTGTTTTTTCAAAAGAAACAGTTTGGAACCGTTACATAACGGTGCATAATAAGCCGTTACGGCTGTTACGGCACCGTTACGATCGCTACGGCAGTCGCTACGACCGACACACCTGTGAATGTCAATCACACTGCAAAAGCGGCCGTAACGGGTGGCGGTAACGACCAAAACCTTTACGTAACGGCGTTACGTAACGGTTGCGGCCGCTTTTTAAAACCTTGGCTGCACCTCATTTGTCCTACTCTGCAGCCGGTGCGACAGGTTTGTGACCGCCGTCATGGTCTCCACACATGACTTCAAAGTATACTGATTGGCCTCAATATCAGTTTGCACTGCCATTTTTTGCTCCACCGACCGCATCGGAAAGTTCAACGGAGCAAAACCAGAGGCGCTTGGTTGAGGTTCACTGGCCACCGCACCAGTTATCTCTCTTGTTGACTCGTTGAGGTCGGGAAAGAGAGTGAGCAGACCACGGGACGAAGAGGCCATATTCTGGGTAGCTAAACGGGAAGACGAGGCCATGTTATGGGTTGCTGAGTGTTTCAGAGAACGGTTGGTTACAGAATGGCAACAGAGTGTTCCAGAATCTCTTTCTCAGAAAGGGAAGAGTTTTTTTCAAAGGATTTTCGGCGGTTTCAGACTGGTTTGCACAGCCTCCGCCTCAACCTTGGTTAAATAGCCGAGGCAGACACGCGCATCATACGCCTCTCGGCGCTCGCCGACAACATGGGCGCTCCTTTTGATAGGCACGCCTTTTGATGGCACGCCTTTTTATGGATTGGGCATGCTTTTTGATGGCACGCCTTTTGATAGATTGGGCACACCTTTTGAGGGTGCAACTTTTTAAGGGTCCGACAAGACTCTGTAAACTGTCCCGACATTGATTCCGGTTAGCTCCTTCATCGGTCCGACATGACCACACCTTTTGAGGGTGCGACTTTTTAAGGGTCCGACAAGACTCTGTAAACTGTCCCGACATTGATTCCGGTTAGCTCCTTCATCGGTCCGACATGACCACACCTTTTGAGGGTGCGACTTTTTAAGGGTCCGACAAGACTCTGTAAACTGTCCCGACATTGATTCCGGTTAGCTCCTTCATCGGTCCGACATGACCCTGCAAACTGTCCCGACATTTGATTCCGGTTAGCTTGTTGTGTGTTTTTATGGGTCCGACAAGACTCTGTAAACTGTCCCGACATTGATCCCGGTTAGTTTCTACAAGGGTCCAGCAAGACTCTGTAAACTGTCACAACAACTGTCTTCTACAACGGTCCGACATGACCCCATAAACTGTCTTCTACAACGTTATGACACCACCATCCAGTGTCTTCACCAATGGTCTGACACGACCATACTGTGTCTCCTATCCTCTTTTATTTTTATGTATTTTCTTGTTTTGTTACTCTCTCCAAACTCAAGTTGGTTAGTTCCTATCCCCCTTGAGTTTGCGGGGGGCTGTTAAAAATCCACCTACTACACACCTACCACTACCACCTACTACACACTCACCTACTCCACTTACTCTTCACCTACTCCTCACCTACTACACACTCACCCTCTTCTATATATAGGAATCATGAATCATTGTAATAGATATCAATAAACATATCAATCAATAATACATTAATTTTAACACATGGATACAGATTCAAGATAAAAGCAGCTATGAAACATGGCTGATACATATACAGGATAACTTTACAATATGATAGAGATATGTTGATATGAAAATTTCTAAAAAATTAAGATACTGATACATTGAAAATATGAGAATACATATGCATATTATGTACATACGTATGCATATAAATAAAAATGTAATTTTGTTATAACATATTTGTCACAAATTATTTGTCCTTTCATCTACTTGATATTCTCAATTTCATATTTAATAATATATTCACTATGCTAGTTCTTTTGGCTGAGGACCTGGGTGGTTACTGTGATTTCAGAAAAATAGTGAAATATTGATTAATGTTTTCCTTGGAGGAAAAATTGTAAATAATAGCCAGAAACCCTGCCCTGGTGCAGGACCTACAATATGAAGGAAGGATAAGGAACATGAGAAGAAATAGAATAAGAAATGAGGGAAATAATAATGAGAAATTACGATGGAACTTATCACGGGCAAGGTGAAAGAAAATTGGCTAAGACGCCTTCATCTAATCCTTCTATGTTAAATATACTAAGGCAGTGAGCACAACTGCAAAAGAGACATCCGTTTCAAATCACGTGATGCCTTATAGACAAGCAAAGGCCCCATATATAACAGAAATAATATCCCAAAAAGTGGAATTAAAGCTTTTCATCTTACAACAGCATTTGTCAGTCATGCCACAACAGCTGAGAGTCATTAAAAACAAATGTAGACAACAAAAAAATATACTCCCTCCTTCCCATTTTATTGGTCCATTATTCCACTTTTTGTTGTCCCAAAATGTATGTCCATTTTGAAAAGTCAAAACTTTGAATTTAAAAGTTTCAAAAATTATCCCTTGTAAAGTAATTATAAATATATTTAAAAATGACAATAGAAGGGTATTTTTGGAATTTTATCCTTTAAAATTTGAATTCAAAGTGTAATGAATATGTCTCCTTAAAAAGTTTGAATTTTCAAAAAAGACTATTAATTTGGGACAGAGGGAGTATATGTATCCCAGCCCGAAAAAGGGGAAAACAAGACAAAACAGAAATAAGGAAAACACATTAGTGCTACCAAAAACACTAAAATCAAAAACATAATCCTTACAGGGAATTCCCAGCAAAGCATTCCCAACAGAAATGATAAAAAGGGGAAAAAAGCAAAAATAAATAAACCTAACAGAAAAATTTGTATGGAACTCACTCTTCAGCCTGAATAACATGTTTGAGTCTTTCGGAAACATGAATGGCATCAAGAGGAGCAAACCGAAATCGAGTACATCTTGACTGTAGAGCTGGAATAATCTTGTTGACATGGTTACATATAAGAGAAAACCTAGTGTTTTTTGTGTACTTCTCAATCACTGCAATTTGAACATGGAAACAAAGTGTGTGAGAAAAATGAACAAACTAAACAATCATATTAAGAAGCAGAATAATGTAATAGTTCTTACCTCGACGCAGAGCAAATTGTGCATCCTTTGTCATGGCATCTGCCTCATCCAATAAGACCAACTTCACGGCTGATTTTGCACTGCAAAAAGAACACATTGCTTATGTAATTTATGCACTTGAGGGAAATCTGTTAATTTATCCCACTTGTCCAGCAATTTATTGAGTCAACTTAAATTACCTCAATCCATGCATAGTGAGAGTACTATAAGCATTACTCTACAATGTCAGGGTTAAAGCACAACCGGGATATAATGATTGCAATATAAAAAATGATGTTAGGGCCATTTAGGCCTTACATATTGAGTCTTGATTTATATTTTCTTTATATTAGTCCATTTTGCATAGGTTAAATTAAATTCATGTTTTTTAATAACTCACCAATGCTTGTGACAATTCTACCATATTTGCATCAAACTGATTGTCTGAAATAAAAGAGGGAAACAAGGCATGAATAGGAGAATAAATAAGGATTTTTTTTTATATACAAGGAAAGAAATATGTAATCAGATAAAAGGGTTAAAATCACCAAAATAAATAACTAAAAATAAAAATATATACATTTAAACAGACAATTGGAAAATCAACCCTTGGAGGATATGGTTGGCACATAGAGTTGCTAGATAAATAACTAGGCGTGCATGCCTTAGATAGTAGACTCAATAGAAACAATATAACTATTTGAGAGACGAGGGAGAAAAAATGAATTGGAGACAAGAGAGACATAATACATAAACCCTAATCAAATTGAGAGACTAGAGAAGAGTGAATTGGAAACATCATCCATTTAATAGAAGAAAGAAGAGTTGTAACTGAAATTTGTTTTTGGGAAGTCTTGAGTTCAAGTCAGTCTGTTTGCATTTTGTTTCTCTACAGCTGTGTTTGGTTCATGGATTTTGGAAAGAATTTTAAAAGAGAAAAGGGTAAATGTAGGTGAAATATGAATGAAATATAACTATAATTTCTACATTATAGGATTAGGACAACCAATTTGCGACGATTTCACATACAAAAACCCAATTGTCATCACACTAATAACACCAAAAAAACATTGTTCAAACAGCTAACACAACACAGAATAAGGGATTACCCAAATGAGAAGCTCTGAGTGCTAGCAAAATCCTGAATCTGTTGCCTGACAACATCGATTCCGCGATCATCCGACGCATTCAGCTCCAAAACCATGTTGTGCATCTGCGATCCATAGAGCTTGCGAGCCACAGCAAGAATGGTCGATGTCTTGCCAGTACCAGGTGGGCCGTAGAGAAGCAAATGCGGCAATTTGTTCTCGCTAGTAAGCCTATCAACTGTTCGAAGAAAGTCACAAATGAAATCAAAATACACACACACATATATATATATAAACCCTAGGAAGTGAGAGGAGGAGGAGGAGGAGGGAGGAGATGGATACTGGTATCGACGATGTCGCGGTGGGCGGCGACATCGGAGAGGGATTGAGGGCGGTACTTTTCGACCCAGGGATTGGCTTTGGTGTTTTTGAGAGAGTGGTTTTTGTCTCCAGTGTCATCGTCGATGTCCATGAGGGAGATTACCTCCGCCATTGTTGACTTGGTGAGTTACTATTTTCTCTCTCTCTAAACAGACTGTAACTGAGCGTTGCGCGCGCAGAATATGGCAAGTGATGGCGCCAAGTTTTTAAGAAAGGATCCGACTTCTCTGAGACCGGGAGAAGTCGGTTTCGGTCAAATTCGGCCCGTTACTTTTATGGGTTACACTTTTGATTCCTGTTTGGGGTTGATTTTTTAATTTTTTATAAACAAAAAAATATGTAAAAAAATAAAGAAGAAATATGATATAGCAAATAAGTATATTATTTAGTTGGTTGCCATCTAGTATGTATATCTAGGGATAAGTACGGTTCGGATTGATTCGATTTTTGATAAGTCATAACTAATTTGTTGTGTACTGTTCTATAAAAATCAGAATCAAATCAATCCATTTAAATCATTGAACTAATCCGAACCAAACCATTTAAATACGATTCGGTTCAATTTAGAACTACATATGGTGTTGTTTGGAAAGTTTGTGTGTTGGGTTTTTTTTTATTTTTTTCACTAAAAGACAATTTTTTTGCAAAACCAAAAAAAAAAATATATCCAAACAAAATATCACATCCAACTTCATAATCATTTCACTTATTCTCTCACAAACATCACATCCAACTACAAAAAAACTCAACTATTTTCCCAAATACAAAAAAAAAAAAAAAAATCTCCAACAATATCCTACAACTAAAAAGACTTACATAAAAACTCACTTCCCAAACACCCACATAATATGTTCACAAGAAAAATCATATAACATTCACCAAACAAACTACTAATAAACAAATATTGTTCAACATTAATCTACCTATGATTTTTCAAAACATAAATATATCATTCTACCATTAACTTAAACAAATATAATATCTAGTAAATAAATATATTGTTCAACATGTAATAAGTATAAAACTCCCATCAAATAAATATTGTTGTGGCAAAAACAATTATAGAATTAAAATTATGCTAAATAATTTTTAAAAAAAAATTAGTTCTAGCAGCTCTAGGATGCCTTTCGGGGTTACCGAGCGCACCTAACCGTTCAGACTCCTAATCTCCTAATCTAATCTCACAAGTGTAATGTGAAAACATAAATGAGAGTTCAAATCCTATAATTTGTGCAAAAAATTCATTTTATTGCAAAAACCTTTGCCAAAAAAGTGGACTACATTACCAGATCTCAGAGTCACCACCTAATTTTTTGGGAAAACTAGGAAACCTGCGACTCGTGCCAATCATAATCATTTCACTTTTTCTCTCACAAACATCACATCCAACTATAAAAAAACTCAACTATCTTTCCAAATACAAAAAAAAATAAAAATCTCCAATAATATCCTAAAACTAAAAAAACTTACATAAAAACCCACTTCCCAAACACCCACATAATGTGCCTGTTTGGTGCAGCTTAAAAGCTGTTTATTTCAACTTTTAGTTTAATTTAAGCTATTTTGATGTGTTTGGTTTAGCTTATAGCTTTTTGGAAGTCAGAAATCAGCTTATTCTTTGAGTAGGGCAGGAGATACTTAATTTATAAGTCAGAAATCAGCTTATGTTCATAGTTATAAGCTATAAGCTGTTTATGCATAAACTATAAGCACTTTCCCACAGCTCTACCAAACAGAGTATGTTCACAAGAAAAATCATATAACATTCACCAAACAAACTACTAATAAACAAATATTGTTCAACATTAATCTACCTATGATTTTTCAAAACATAAATATATCATTCTACCATTAACTTAAACAAATATAATATCTAGTAAATAAATATATTGTTCAACATGTAATAAGTATAAAACTCCCATCAAATAAATATTGTTGTGGCAAAAACAATTATAGAATTAAAATTATGCTAAATAATTTTTAAAAAAAAATTAGTTCTAGCAGCTCTAGGATGCCTTTCGGGGTTACCGAGCGCACCTAACCGTTCAGACTCCTAATCTCCTAATCTAATCTCACAAGTGTAATGTGAAAACATAAATGAGAGTTCAAATCCTATAATTTGTGCAAAAAATTCATTTTATTGCAAAAACCTTTGCCAAAAAAGTGGACTACATTACCAGATCTCAGAGTCACCACCTAATTTTTTGGGAAAACTAGGAAACCTGCGACTCGTGCCAAAGATCATTGTCCGTCATAACTAAAGTGTCTCGATTGGGAAACTTAGGTATGAGGGGCGAATATCATGAATTGAGTAGCCCCACTTGCCCAATCGAAAGATCAACCTCTATTAAGTCATAATGTGAGTTTTATAATCTCCATATGTTCATGTTCCAATTTTAATAATGCTGTCATTATTATTTGAGGCAAATGAGTATAGATTGTGTCACTATTTTGGTTTTACTATGATTTCGTGTATTTTAGAAAATCTTTTTGCACAATTTCCAAAAATAGGGAGTTCAAAAACATAAAAATCAAACGCATTCTAATACAAGAAATACAACCTACATCCAATTCATATAGATATTCTACTTATGCATATGGTATAATGCCGAGTATAGTAAGTAACATGCACATACAAGATGCAAAAGCTAAAAAATGCTCAGTAGTAAGCCAAAGAATATGTCAAAGATATATGCATGATCCTATATACAAATAGCTAATGCAATACATTCATCAAATGCACCTAGGGATTCGGCTACTAACACATGACATGTGTATCATCTCAAGGCATGAGAGAGTGCACATAATCATCTTGGAAATGATAAATCTCACAAATGCAAATGAGCCGAACCCAAATACATGAAAAATGGGTTCAAGTCATGAATATGATAAATAAAACATAATGCTTTACAACATATATCAAAAGCGTAGAAATGAAAGGGATAGAAAAACGTATGGTTGGAAGTTATTACAAGAAATGAATGAATAGACGTGGGATTGAAGGTCATTACAACAAAGAATTGAACAAATGACGTGGTGTTGAAGGTTATTAAAACAAGGAATTGAGTCAACCAAATTAAGTGGAATCTAACAAATCATACTAAAATGAAAAGCAAACTACAAACAATAACCACAAAATGTCTAGGAGAGCACTTCCCAGAAACTACCTTGTTATGCTCTACTTTGTTTGGGAACAAGGTTCACTGGGTTGTACATAAATTCATTCGACCGAATGGAAAAAAATGTTGGTTATGTCTAACCTCTGATATGAACATTGTTTTGTGCAACAACACCAAAGTAGAACCAAAATACACCTTCTATGAGGTGTTCATCCTTTCTACCTCTTTCTTTCACAATTAGACCCAAGAAAGAGGTAGAGAAGTGTTAACTCACAAATTAATAACACAAAACTATATACAACAGATATTTACAACAATTAATCGAATGAAAAGAGTTAGGTATTTGAAGAAATTCAAGCCCAAAAAATTAATGAGAACCTACAATCATGTGAACAAGGGCAGATTAATACCCAAATTCATACTATTAATTTGAGAGGGTAGATTAATGCACATTATTTCTTAGTGGAAGCTTTGCCTTCAAAGTAAGAGATTCATCAAAGACTATTGAAGACTCATCTCCTATTCATGGAACAAGGATGTTTCCATCATTTTCCATGTTCACAAAAGATCAAGGAGAGAGTTCTCAACATCTTTGACATAAAATCGCTTACTTTGTTTCCAAGGAAAACAACAAACAAAACACAAACTAACGACCTTCTCAACATCACATCTCAAGGATCATCCAAATAACTATATGCAATAACCATATGCACTCATCAAAATTGAGTATGGATTGAAGCACATGAAACAACACGCTTAAATGATTATATAGGTGATAAGAAAGTGTCAAAAACTATTAAAGAAACTACTCTACGTAATCAAACTCGTGGATAGGTGGCTACTTTCTAATTCCCAATCACATCCACAAGGTTCCATTTTACATATATTAATCAAAGCCTTACAAACCAAGGATAAGAATGCAAAAGCACAAATAAATAGGAAAATCAATCAACTCAATAGATAGATGGCTACCTCTTATTTCCAACCACATCTACGAGGACCTATCATGTAATTACAGTAGAGAGCAACAATATTCAAAGCTTAAGAGAGAGAAAGAGGTGGAGAAAATAAGAAAAGTTCAAAAGTTTCACCTCCTAAAAGAGGATAAGCTTCTTGATTGTCAAACTCCTTCTTTGCACTCTCAAGATCTTTTAGATATGGCTTAGAGTTCTTGAAATCCTCAGCAAAAATCTTGGAATTGAGCTTCGATGGAGTTTGGGTAGTGGGTGTGTGAAAAATAGAGGTTGGAGGAGAGGTAGAGTGATAAGCTCTCAAAACAAGTTCCTTAGCCTTTGAAAATTTGGTAACCCCCAAGATTGAAGTTGGGTCATGCTTTTATAGACTTTAGGGGCCAAAATATCTAAGATATTTGTGAAAAAGTCACAAAAAAAGTCAAAATTCTCGAAAATGCTCTGTACCAAGACATTTCAGCCGATCGTACCGTCATTCATCCGACTGACTACATTTTTCATTCAATCATGAATTGTTGTACGGCCAGAGGAAAAACATACTGTTAGATCAATAGGGTAAAGCTAGCATGACTTGAAAGGAGAAACAAGTTTTTTAGAGGATTTCATCATTTCAATTCATTCCCCCTATATATCCTTCACTGGGTCCACTAAAAAAGACAACTTTTGAAGTTTAAAAAGGCGAACCTCGAGATATTGTAAAAATGTTTGAAACTAGGCAACCAAATGTTTTGGCCAAAACGGGTGTAAGGTTGGATTTAAAGCCCGAGTTTGAACTTTTTGCTGAGAATTTGTAAGATTAGCACACCTAAACTTTTATCATGTGGTGTTCAGAAAAGAGCGCCTAAGTCTTAAGGCTGGTCAAAATAGGGTGTCTACAGCAGCATAGAGAAGAGAAGAGAAAACTGAAACGGTATGAATTTCGGTTTAGTTTTATATACAAGAGGTTAGGATCGTATGCATCAGGGTGTATGGTAGGCTTATGACTTAAGTTATACACGGTTTGGTTCGGTTCCAATTTGGAACCATAGACTTAAATCCATAACCAATATATGGAGACCAGTTCCCCAATTTTCCAAATCAAAATCAAACCATGGATTAAAAAAGCCAGACTAAACTTATCGGATTAGGTTCAACTGATTCAATTGCCAATTTTTT